AATATCTCCCACAGATAGTCTAATGGCAAGCAGTCACTCCACGGAGTAACCTTGACCTCAATGAAACAAAATTGTTATCCTGAAAAAAACATATAACCAACACCATCACATAATATCAAATAGAAGCATTAAGAATACTGGTCAACCGAAAACAAAGACAAATAATGAGGAGTAACCCTAGAGGGTACATGAAAACGTCAGGAGAAAAGAATGAACAATTACAAAACCAGTTGAAATATTCAAATACGTATCTATATTATGAGTAGACTGTTCATAGAGGGATTTTCAAATTGATTATTATGCTACAGACATGTGTAGGCTTCATGTAGTAATTTAATGAAAAATATTTCACAAAAGAAAAATGTTTTTCTAACATTTATTCACTTTAAAAATACTACTTGACTTATTCTCAGCATTATTACGTATCCTCTTAATCCTTGTGTGCATGAACTGATTGCTGTAGGTGAATTTCTTTCAATCTTTTCAGTTTATCGGCTGAATACATTCTTTGCATTCAATTATTTCTAGTCTTCTCCCAACATTTAACTGGTCTATTCTTGAATGATAGATGCAATCTTCTACGTAACTGAGCTTATAAAGCTAAACGTCAGCGTTATCACTATATGACTTAACCTAAATTACCACATACATGGAGAATTATATACTCTTTCTTACACTTGAATGTTTTGTAACAAAAGCATTTCGGATATTCTGTTCACTATCGACAGTAACATATATGTGTTAGTTATTTGAAAATTAAATTCATTCCTGCTCTGGTTATCTCACTGCTTAGAAAACAGAATATTTCACTTCTTATTTTGATCAGATAGCTGCAATTCAGGAAGATATCCAGTATTCCCACGAAAAATGTGAATTGAGTAATATGATTCTTAAGGTGTTATGTTTCTATTCAGTGTTGAAAAATAGAACTTTATTTCTAGTAGCGTTTTTTTTAAGTTTTCAAAGACATTTATCAACTGAAAGTAACCAGAATTTCCCTTTAAATAACTGAAATAAATTCTTAATAATCAATAAAGTGAATCTATATCAAAAAGCAAAACGGCTTTCCCACCCCCCAAAAAAAGTTTCGTAAAAAACATCACCCTTTAATTATTCCTTTCTCCTTACAATATCAAGATTTCACTAGATTTCAGGTGAAACATGAACACTTGCAGCTAACATGTACAGTCACGCCTGGCTAACATGTCATGTAAAGAGTTAACCGTTTCCAACAATATCCATAAAATATAAATATCACTAAAAATTTCTTCTATTCAAACCTTTTGCAGGTGAAACCTCAAGGGAAAAAATCCCTCACTTTGCTGCAATAAGCTGACATGAAACCATGCTGTTTAAAGACCTTGCATTTAAACTATTTCTCTTGGTACACAACGGACCGTGTTAAATACTTAAAAGTGATCTCATTCGTAGTAGGACACACGCAATTATGCCAATTTTAGTACATATCATTTTTTCAAAAAGGCTTTCATTCAAAGACAATTAAGTCTACTAAGTTGGATGAATTCATTCTACTTCACAATTCCATACTTCGAAAGCAAAAGAAGCGAAACAAGAAACCCAGCAAAAATATCTTTTCAGCGATTTCATCCACAAAAACTGTACAGTTGTATTCTTCTACATAATTTTACATACAATTATTATTTAATTCAACATAGTAATGTGAAAGGAAATTGAAGAGTATAATCTTCAACTTGATATGAAAGCTTGGAGGTATGAATATTGATTACAAGAGGTATATAAACATAATTATATAGGACTTTGAAACAGTTGCGTAATATATAAAATAGTTTTTACCGAAGACAGGTATGACAAGGGATATGCGTAGAAATAAATTGAAATAGTGTCGTTTATCTAAATGAAGATGAAAAGATAAAGGGAATGGAAAAAACAACAATAACTAAAGTCAAACAGAAATAGATCTATGGCAGATGTAGAGGTTGAACTAGTTTCTTTTGAACACATATCTCTGACTTCTCTTTGCTTATGAACAAGGCTTTTGCAGGACAAAGAAGTTGGAAATAAACCACCTTTGGTAGATTTTTGCTCACTTTGTAGTGATTTCGAATGGAAAGTTGATTGAGCTGCTGTGATAAGTACTGATATTCTCCTGCTTTTTACGAGAAAACCATTTTACTGACAACCAGCCATTTCTTGCATTTCTTCTGTAGTACAATTTTCAGTTAGTTAACATGCAAAAAACTACTGTACATTTTTTGTCAGTCGAAACAGCGAATTTTCACTCTTTTTAAGATAAAATAAAATTTTCATGATATCGTTTGTAGAGGTTTGGTTGGTTTCAAATTATATCACGGACTGATATCATTTAGAGAACCATTGAAAGCCAGGGGGTACCGGAGAGTTGTTTTGTCCTAGTTTGAGACTCTTTATCAGAACACAGTCACGTTCTATAACTGATAACGATCCGCAATCAAACCTAGGACTAATCAAACACCTACCAAATGAGACTTGGAAGTTATTTTTATGCTTACTAGTGATTAAATACAGGACGAAGTTGCCTGGAGTTCTAAGAAGAAGTCATGACCAGTGGGGTCCGCTATGCTAGGTGTGGTTGACGGCCGCGCTAAAAATTATGAATTGACAGAAATTAGAATACATAGGTCATCGGATTCCGTCCCAGTGACTAGATAGCGAACGGGATCACCTTCTAATCTGAAGGTCTTGAGTTTGATTCCCGATGCGGCTCATGGGTGTATATTACTGAAAGGTTCCAAACTATGATGATACAGCTGCCCAGCACTTCCTAGTTTTCGATCGTCTTTTAAATCAAAATTATTACTATCATTCTAGTTTCTGAAATTTTGCATTTATCTTTAACGGAAATCCTGTTATAACATCACTGAACCTTATGATAGCGAGTAGTGGAACTTGTTTCGATAAAGCATAAGTGAGAGTCAACCAACATTCCTATCTTCATAGCTCAATTAATCCGGTTTTTTGTTGTTGTTGTCACCAAAGATAATGAGATCAGAAATTTTTGTTAAATGTCTAACTAACATAGCTTGAATTTTTGGCAAGAAAAAAATTAAATCTGAAGCAAAGAGATGACTGTTTAAAGAGTGAGAGCTGGGAGTTTCGGAGCGTAATCTTATTTCGAAAGTCAAAAAGACCGTTTTATATCATAAGGCTCTTAAGTTAGCGGCAACCTTCAGTGTTTTTAGTCTTTTTCAGTGTTTATTTAGATTACCGCTAGCTAAACAATCTGGTTTTCACGGGGTTAGTTAAATCTTTCGAATAATTTTGAACTGTTGATGGAATCAGTCTTAAATGGTTGGTTAAGTGAATAGATTACCATCAGTATATTAGGATCGTACGATGACTGATTTGTGTTCTACTACAATTTTTAACTTATAATTTATTCGATTATTGCCTAGTTTTAAGCAAAATGATAAGCAAATAATTAGCTTAACAACAGAAGGTATGTTTGTATGCATTTAGACGGATGATATAAATTTCAGTAATAAAAGGTATTGAGATTATTTTTCTATCAGTTTATTTTGTAGATTGTTATGAGTAAATATTTCTCTCGTACTAAGAAATTCAGTTAGTTTACACAGTTGTGTTTACCAACTCAGTGTTGGTGTGTTTAATCATCTTGACAAAAGCCATGGACAGTTTACTGTTTGCATCTTAACCAAGTTAACTTATCACTTTCTACAAAAACATTTTACTTAGACTTCTAAACGTAGTATACGTTAACCAATGTTACAAGATTAAATATTGTAAGGCACGGGTTTATTTACCAGTATTCAGTGAAACGAATGGTGAGATTCTGACATATGTTTGCTTTCGAGAAAAATAAAATAGGTATTTTCAAGAATTAATGGAGTTCATCCGGTTGGAAGTGAGGACAAATACTCGCCGATGACATTGGTAGCCGAACTAGAATCCTGAATTGATAGAAGTTGCAATTCATGCGCCACTGAATCCGGTCCCAGTAGCTGAATTCTAAATGATTTCGCATTGTAACCAGAAGGTCCTAGGTTCGAACTCCAGTGGCTGCGTGCTGCCGACGATTCCCAGAGTAGGACAAAACGGCTGTCTAGTACTTCCTGATTTTCCACGGTCTTATAACTAACATCAATCCGTTGTCGAGCTTAAAAATAGATAATTATTACAAAATTTTTAAATTTACCAATCTTTATTATAATTATTTTGTTATTATTATTATTTTTGTATTTCCCAATGAATGAAAAACAAAGTGATATTGTTTTTACTGACGTTTCGCTACTTAGTGCTAATAGCTTAATATTACCAATCTTTAGTTAATTTTTCTTTCTTTAAAGAATATGTTTTCCACGGAAATATTAATTTCGTCACTTTCTACCAAAAGTTTAAAAAAGAAGTATTCAAATTAAACTGAAGTGCAGTCAGAGATACGACTGGGGGCGTGTAATAACGACGTGAATTTGCAGGTAGCATATATCTTCCGAGAGAATCTACACAAACTGTAGCATTGAAAGCTTCTCACTTAGCCTACGCAACTCTGAGAACACAATCTGATCAAAATTACTGTATTACTTATAAATTCTTGTTAGTAGCACACTCCACGCAATGAATATTTTCATCTTGCATTAGTTAGTATAAGAAAAACTTCAAAATTCTTGATTTTTGTTTTAATCGTTCTCCATTGTTATATTTTATCACTGTTATTTCAAGTTTGGTGATTCTATTTGTTTTAACCATATTGGTTAAATAAATTTATCTGTTGAGTTTTTTCGTTCATCCAGACAACACTGTCTACATCACTTAAAGGTACTAACAAGTAAACACTGATACTCATCCTCTTCTTAAAAGTAAAAATTTTGTTGAAATTACTCATAAAGAAAATGTTTTTTAAATTTGCGCAATAAAATCATTTGTTGACAGTTTTATCTCATCTGTCGTTCTTATGTTTTCTCTTTCTGTTCCCCAACTGTGAAAATCCAAATGAACACCAACTATATACACTCTGCGTACAGAGGACAGACACCAGCTGAAGCCGACTATAATTTATTGGATACTGCACGAAAAGTTGAACTTTATGGAGTTCGATTTAATCCGGCTAAGGTAAGTTTGTCACTAACATTTCTCTTAACTGGAAACATATATTTACTATGATATTTGCTCCTAAAGAGCATATATATGAGGATATTTCGGAATCAATCATGACATGAAAAACACAAATTTCTTTTGATATATATATGTATCAAATATCATTTTTGTGATTTGTAGTACTCTTAAAATGTAGTCTAAAAAGTTCTTTTTATACCAAATCTTCACATTGTTCTTCTGATGTAATACCGGAAGCGTTCACTATGATTTTCTTTTTAAGTTATTGTGTCTTACTTGAGAGTTTTAGTCTATTTTATGATTTCAGGCTTCACGAACCACAGTTAGTGTATCACTATGTTTAGCATGCATTTTATTGTAGTCAGTCAGAAAGAAAATATGTCTATTCATAGAAATATAATTGAATTTATTTTCACTTGGTAATCCATTTCAGATATCTGTATTTTAGATGAATTTATGGAAGACTAATAAAGGCAAAGTTGAACTATCATAGTCAAAACCACAGTGACTTTGAACAACCAGTCAGGATTTAGATGCAAAACAGTCGCATAATCGTTGAAAAATGCACCAGTAAACATTGCGAACATAATATTACACTGTATAGTTGTCCCTTATGTGTTGCAAGAATGTCTCCTAGTCACTACACAGATGATCTATATAGAAATCATACCTTGCACGAAATATACATTCATCTAGGTAGCTGTGGGTCATGGTTCTTTGAGATCCATTGAATTTCCTGACACTGTTCTTTAATCTGCCTGTAACTCTAACCATAATTCTAACTCCTAATCCTAACTTTAACCCCACTTCTAACCTTAACCCTGAACCTTAAAACCTTAATCTTAAAAGCCATAACTCTACCTAACAGTATAGATTAACAGAAGAAGTACCTAGGATATAAGTAGAATACTGTATCTACCCTCTTCGAGTTCAAAGAGATAGGCTTGATTTGATTTGGAATGACTTTTCATAGTATTCCCTGTGTTTGACTGGTCCTTAAAGGCTAGATTTTGAAAGATCTTGACCTTGGTTATGATACTTTAACTTCCCCCTAACAATGTTCAACTGACACTTGTTCTACCATTATGCAACCATTGGTTTCACTAAGTGCATTTAAACAGAAAAAGTCTTGTTTTTTAAAATAGTGATGAAACTTCGCGTATAGTGCTTATAGCTGTCGAAAAATAATGGTAAGGTTTTAGAAATGTTATTCGCTTGTGCAAAGGTGATCAATAAGTTCTTTCCTAACAAAGTTTTGTTCAGGAAAAGATGTTAGTGCGATTAGGTGTAGCTGGCATTTTTTCATCAAACAGTTTATCAAACAAACACAGAAAAGAATATGAATGAAATTTTATTTCAATGATAAAACAAACTTGGCACAATATAGGCATTGATAAATGCCCTACAGAAGATAATGAATCAACAATCTGAGAAAAGCAGAAATAGAATAATTACAGCAAAATTTAATGAATGCAGATAAGTATACTTGTGAAGAGCATCCAGAGAAGCCTTTATCACATTGTACTACCTTCAGAAAGAGAATAGAATGATGGAAGTTGCCGCATGTTCACCACTTATTCCCAATTCTAGTCACATGCAATAAAGTCTCAAGCGATTAATATCTTGGAAACAATGAGGACCAAATACACAGAGTCATTGTACGTACTAAGCCCGGAAGAGTTAAGTTTGACAGACATAAAACAAGGCCAGGTACACAGAAGCATTATAAAGCCAATTTTTGATAGCCACACTGACATCAGAACGGTGCCAGAGGTGGCCCACGCTGGAGTAAACCTCTCTGGCTTTCAATATACCGTCGAAAACTTCATCCACTACACTTTTATTAGTAGTTATATAGCTATCCAGATATATGAACTACTCGACTATTTTTGACCGTCCACCTGGAAGGGTGAATGGAGATACAAACTTCCTACAAATCTGGCAACGGTTATTTTCATTTGAATGAACATAAGTACATATTGAACTTACATGCACGAATCATCAAATGATTAGGTAGAGTTTGTGTAGACTGAATGTTATCGCACTGTAAGACGATATTGTCTTCATAATCACAATTGAAAAGTCTTTCTTTAGGTAACAGACCTAGATCACAATCACAGCATTTACGTCTGTCTAAACAATGTCACCGGTGGCTAAGTTAAAGAAATTGTGAGGTCAGCCAATTCTATCTAAACCCACTTCTCCCTGAAAAACAGGTGGTAGGTGGTTGTATCTCCTCGCTCTGCCTGAAGTGTTTTATTAAGGGCCAACTGACGAAAGTCTCTCTAACAGTCAATTCCAAAAATTGTTATCCGGCCAATCGAAGACAGTTCTTATATCAAGTAATACACTGATTATCGGCCTGCAGTATGTGTGATAGTCCTCTGAAAACTGAAGAGGAACGAATACGTGGTGGAAGCATCCATGTCCTGAAGGAGAAATCACGGAGCACAACATCAGCCAATATTTAATACGCAACTGGTAACAAACTACTATCCTGCTGAATGCTTCTGTTGAACCTCCGTTACGTCAGGAAGAGAGGTGTTAGCCTACCATAAGGTAATGGGATGAAGAATATTGAATACTGGCACTGTGAAAGTACTGATCTGGTTTTTAAAGAGCTTCACTCAGCTTTTCGGGTGCCTTTTAGATTTTAAATTGATACATCATCTGAATTCCAGAACGTCTCACAGAAGCCACACACCTTGCTGCCCGTGATTTGAATGGGCTAGATCAGCTTCCGGTTACTACCAGGTACAACTGCTGATTACATCTTAAACGGGCCTTTAACCGCTTGGCTTTGTAAGCCTAATGTATTCACTGTTTGATTTTTATGAGTTAGTCTCAAGGGGATTATTTTACTTCCTACGCTCTTAAATGGTCGGAAGAGATCAAGAGAATTCTTGAAACCACCAGAAATCCAGACCAGTACTCTTAAATGAGCGGTAATCCTGAACGCAACCAAAGCTTTGGTAACTGATAACAGTGTAATCTGTTTGAATTCAAGCTTGACTGACAAAAGGAGGATGAAAGGTGGCACTACGGAGATAGCTTTACAGAAGTTGATGCTGGTTAAATATAAATCGTAATTTGCCAAAAGTTGCAGAAGGCAGTTCTCAATATCTGATCTGCGACCAACTAATCAGTAGTGACCACCTAAACAGATCCTTTCTAAGCGTTGACTTCCGATTTGTGTGGTCAAGTTTCTTGGTAGCACTACGACACTCATCAAACGCGGATGTTTGAGAACTTGGTCACTTAATTTCAGAATCTCTCTTTAATTGTACTTGAGATAAAATTTATTCGCTCACAGGCAGAGATGACAAAAAAACAACACTGTGCTAGTCTATTTCTTCTTACTGTAATATGGCCTTCCATTCTCACGGCACATAAACGATTGTGTAATGGGAATCTGTTTGAGTTATGTAGCTTTGACTCTAGCGCTCAGTGAGACATAGACACTAGCTAAACTGAATACTGGTCCCACAGGGTCTCTGAATGCGTGCATACTATTTAAGCTTGCAGATGGAGAAGCACTTCACTGAGATCTTGTATGCTGTTCTTTGAGATATAGGAGGTGACAATGTTGTGACCTTCCAGGATTCTGGAATTATTAATAGAAGATTATAGACGAGGAAATGTTCATTTGAAAGCAATCTGAAGAAGAGATAATCGGCACTGAAATACCTTAATCAGTCCTTACTATTAAAATTATAAAGTAAAGATACTTAAGGAAGAATAGGATAGCTACCTGAGGCATATGATGTTTACTGTGATGAAGTTGTGAGCCGCCGCCCCTCCCCAAGCCAAACGTAAAGTGCACTGATTCCGTTTTGAAAGAAAACAGTTCAAACACTAGGTATTATTCCACCTAGTTACATCATAATATTCAAAATATTTAGCCAGGAAACATAAAATACATTTTTATACAATTTAGAGTAACAGTGAGCCAGTGTTAAAACACTTTTCTTATATATTCAAACATTCCAAGCATATTAATTTCCCAAATGACTTATATTACGGTGGAATAAGCACACAGTCTGTTCAGATATAATGCATGAAATAACAATATCATGTGTATAAATATGTATATTGGCATGTAGAATAACAGAAAAAACTAGAACATTTTCTCTAAACACTATGTCCTGATTATTATTCCCTTAGGAATTTCTATATGTAGATATTAGGAAGAAAGTAACAACTTTCCCAAATGATGTATATAAATAAATATATATCCCCTGTTCTCTTCTCTAAATAATAATTACGTGCATGTCGAATTTTCTCTGCATAAAAAAGATGATGAATTCGATTCGGAGTTAGGATTAAGATTATTCAACATTAACACATTACACTGAGAAATGTACAACTTTTTCTAAGGAAAATTCAGGTGGGCGTATAATTTCAAACCATTGAAATCATCACAAATTGTATAATTATAATCCTATTAGTTCTGTTCAGAATGTATGTCAATCACAGAGGCTATAATTCATAAACCATTGGCCAAAAGACTTATCTCGTAACCTTAATATTTTAAGTGTGATCCCAGGAGGGGTCATAGATGCACACTGATGAAGATCCCCAAAGAAGGACGAAACAACTGTCCAGTACTCCTTAGTTTTCAGTGGTTCTACATCTGATGTCACTAAGTTATCTAACTTGAAAACAAATATAGGCTAAATACTGCATTGGTGACTACAGTATAAGACAAAGAAAACTAGATCACAACAGAACTTAAATCATGAATATCTGGATGTGAAAGACTCTAGCAGAACTAGATTTCGTAGATGATATGTCTCATATCACACAAACTCTAAGAATTGCAAGCGAAAACCAACAAACTGGCTGAAGAGGCAGGCAGAGAACACTTCACTCCAGGTGAAGATGGATAACACGGAGGTGATAAGAATAACCAATGAACAGCAACAACAACCAGCACTAATCACCATCAGTGGGAGAGATTCGATGGAGGTCACTCCCTCACTTATCTAGGAAGCGCG